ATAGATCTTCGATCCAGCGTGATGTATTCAACCCTATCACTTGCTCAGACTGTCAAACTAGCAGTTTTTATTAATGAAAAATAAAAAAATCCAAATGTTTTATCACATACTAGCAGCACTCATTGAGCACTAAATTATTAACCGTTTATTATCATAGATCTTCGATCCAGAGCGATGTATTCAACCCGGTGACTTGCTCAGACTATCATACTAGCAGTTTTTATTGTTAAAAATTTAAGAAAAATAAAATTTCCTAATTTTTTATCACATACTGGCAGCACTTATTGAGCACTAAATTATTAACCGTTGATTATCATAGATCTTCGATCCAGAGTGATGTATTCAACCCAGTCACTTGCTCAGACTGTCATACTAGCAGTTTATTATTTTAGCGGAACCGTTATCAACTTTTTTTAAATCGTGCTATGACTCAGGAATGTTTCCTGATCAGCTTAAAATAGCAAAAGTAATTCCTGTATTCAAAAAAGGAGTCAAAACAGATCCCCATAATTATAGGCCAATATCACTGTTACCTACAATATCAAAAATATTTGAAAAACTGATTAAAAATCGACTTGTTGAACATCTTCTTACAAATAATATAATTAGAGAACGACAGTTTGGTTATCAAAAAAAGGTAGGTACAGGCGAGGCAGTAGAAACACTTTTATATGATGTAGCACAATATCTTAACGTTAAAAAGAAAGTTGTTGGAATATTCTTGGATCTCAGCTCTGCTTTCGATTTAGTAAATCATGAAATGCTCATAATTAAGTTGGAACATTATGGCATTACAGGAAATTGTTTAAGACTTTTAAAATCCTATTTAGAGAATAGACATCAATATGTAGAAATAAAAACTAACATTGACGGAAAAATTAATGACTGTAAATCAAAATTGACAAAGATAAAAAAAGGCGTGCCCCAGGGATCAATATTGGGACCAATTTTATTTTTATTGTTTATCAACGATTTAGATAATTACATTTGTGATAATATTAATGACATAAAAATTACTCTGTTTGCGGACGACACTAGTGCAGTTATTTCAGCCAACAATAGTGAAGATCTAAGTCGTAAAACTAAGCAGGCTCTATCAGCATTTAGTAATTGGTTTGATGCAAATGACCTTATTTTAAATTTTGACAAAACCAATATAATGTTATTTCGTACGACGGTAAGAAATAAAGAAAATTTGGATATTACTTTAAACCACAAAAATATAAATCTAGTAGAAGTAGTAAAGTTTTTAGGAATTTATATTGACTCATACCTCAACTGGAAGCAAGAATTGGAGAAAATTGAGAAAAAAATTAGTTCAGCCTGTTATTGTTTAAGAAGCTTACGTGACGATATTACAGTAGAGCAACTAAAAATAGTATATTATGCACTAGTCGAGTCTCATTTGCGGTATAGTATTAGGTTTTGGGGCAATTCATATAAATTTAATATACAGAGAGCTTTTGTGTTACAAAAAAGAGCTATCAGAACTGTAGTCCGTATTCCACAATGGGAATCATGTAGAGAATATTTTGTGAAATTGAAGATTTTAACCGTTCCCTGTCTTTATATATTAACAGTTTTGTGCAACTTAGCAAAAAATTTTGATACTTTTGAAACGCTAATAGACAGGGAAAGACGTTTGAAAACACGCAGAAAGGATCTACCACATCTGATCAAACCTAAACTTAAGATTGTTAAACATAGCTGTAGGTACCAGGCGGTCGAAATTTTTAATAGGCTTCCAATCAGTTTGAAATCGATTATTGATTAAAATCTTTTCAAAACAAATTGAGGGACTTCTTGTTGAACAAGTGTTATTACAGTGTTGACGAATTTATGAGATAGGATTAGGTTGACATTTTTTTTATATATATATGAATTTTATCCAGTTTGACATAGTGTATTTGTATTTTCTTTTTATTTGTTACAATTTTAATAATCCACTTTGACATCAAAAATTTGTAATTTGATTTATTATTTTATTTATGTCTGCTTTTATTTTATTTTGAATTATTATTATTTCCAACACAATTATATTGTTAAATGGAATAAATGAATTGAATTGAATTGAATTTATATTGATAAAAAATTAAAAAAAAAAAATATCCTAATTTTTTATCACATACTGGCAGCACTCATTGAGCACTAAATTATTAACCGTTGATTATCATAGATCTTCGATCCAGAGTGATGTATTCAACCCAGTCACTTGCTCAGACTGTCATACTAGCAGTTTATATTGATAAAAAATTAAAAAAAAAAACTTATTTTTTATCACATACTGGCAGCACTCATTGAGCACTATATTATTAACAGGTGATTATCATAGATCTTCGATCCAGAGTGATGTATACGAACCGGTCACTTGCTCAGACTGTCATACTAGCAGTTTTTATTGATAAAAAATAAAATATTTTTTATTTTCCAAAATTTTCATCAGATACTGCCAGCACTCATTAAGCACTAAATTCCCTATGCATTGCTTTAGTTCTATACCTCGTTAATATAGGCGTTTCAGGGAATACACTGCTAGCTTAATTAAAAGCTGGCAGTGTTCTAATTTTTCGCTAAACTATGAGAGCATTAAATTTCCGGTTTTGGCACTAAATTAGCACTAAATAAGCACTAATTGATGCACTTTATTTTAAACGATTCTGCTCACTTTGCCATGCTAGCTTAACAGACGTGATTTTCATCCTGTATTTCAACATACAGAGTGCCTCAATCCTCAGGTTTAGACAATTACTTGTATCCTATAAGCTACTGAAGTTCATGTTCAATGCTGATATTACAAGAAATACCCATTGTGTACATGTACCATAGATTATTAATTATATTAATTACAATTATATTCATTTACGTGTCGTCAAAATCGAATTTAGCATTATTATTACCAAACATTTACGTTATTCTAAGTCAGCTCTTTAATAATATTTCTATATTGTGTTAAACATTCATTACGCAGCTTACCCCAAAGAATATCATAATTTATGAGTCAAATGCTTTACTCAGATCTATAAACATGCACGACATGACAGAGGTATTATTATTAACCTAATATTTTAATGTATTCTTTAGTGCAAATATGGCTAGGTCAGTAAATTGCTTTAGATTTTTAGAAGCAACAGGTTATATTTGTAGCGATTTGAAAAAGGTTTATAAATTCAAATAAATACATTTAAAATCAATTAATGTTATACTGCGATGTTTGTGAGCGCTTGCTACACCAACTCAAAGCTTCTGGTTATAAAGATCTGAATTAGCTTTCATAGATAAATGTCCAATAAATTTGACAGTCAAAGTGGCTGCTTGTGCAGAAGCCGCCTCGTAACTACACACATCAAAAGTGTCTAGGGATCAAGCATTTTTATGCGGATTTCTTGAGATTGAGATGTGGCTTTGTAATAAATTTATGATTTTATAAATTTATATGGATCCTTTTTGGTGCATTTCATAATTTGAATCAGGAACTGTGAATCAAATTCGAGTAAAAGATGAAAATCAGCTGTCAATATTTTACCTATAAAAACATACAACGCATTGAAGACATTATTAGTGCTACTGTTTCCCTACTACTGATTAAAACCAACGTTATTATGGAGCGGCGACGTCATTTAAGCAGGGAAGAAATGCTCAGAGCCGTGGGAATGATAGAAGCTGGTTCCCGGCAACGTACTGTGGCTTTAGCTCTGAATACAAGTCAGAGTGTTATCAGTCGACTTTGGACACGATACCGAAGCACTGGTACCGTGGCTGAGCGCCATGGAGGACGGTATCGCTGCACCACACGGAGACAAGACCGATACATTCAAATCTTAACTCGAAGAGCTCCAACAATAACCGCCATGATGTTAGCCGTGAGGCTTCATCACTCTTCAGGGAACTTAATTAGCGACCAAACAGTCAGAAACCGCTTGCATGAAGTGAACCTTCATTCCCGAAGACCGCTACGGGTACCACCTATAGCAATGCACAATCGTAGGATTCGATATCAATGGGCTCTTGAACACAGAAATTGGGCAGAAGAACAATGGCGTTTCGTGTGCTTTTCTGATGAGTCTCGTTTTGGTATGAGACCGGATACAAGACGTATACGACACTGGAGAACCCCTGGACGCCAACAGCGATTAAAATCCTGCCAGGAAGTCCATCCTTATAGTGGTGGAACCATCATGGTATGGGCGGGTATTTGGATCGGCGGAAGAACTGAGTTGATTTGGATCAGAGGCAACCTCAACGCTCAAATTTATGCTGAGACGATTGTATCAGACGTCATCGTTCCTCTACAAGTGCAAATCGGTCCCTTATTTCAGTTAATGCATGATAATGCACGACCGCACACCGCAAGAGTTGTAAGACAGACTCTCGCCGCAGCTAACATCAATGTCCTGCCCTGGCCTGCTCAGTCGCCAGACTTGAACCCGATTGAGCATGCATGGGATATGCTACAGAGAAGAGCTCTGCCGAATATGGAGGGTATCCAGTCGCAAGAAGACCTTTTTTTGTTGTTGCAACGAACATGGGCGGCCATTCCACAGCATGATTTGGATGAACTCATTTTGAGTATGCCAAACCGATGTTCTTGTGTTGTTAGTGTTCGCGGTAGAAATACGGATTATTAATTGTTTAAGTTACCCAATAAAATTTTAGAGAAAACTGTTATTTCAGTCTTTTTTTCGAACTTTTGTGTTAGTGGTTCAAATGTCAAAAATCCCTTTATTAGGAAAATGGCAAATTTCTTTATTAATGCAAAGGTGACTTGGTTTATCGTTACTGTGACAAACGAAAACACTTTATTTGATGAATCCTTAAAGAAAATTTTAATTAATCTCAATCAGGAGAAAAGTTATTGCAAAAATATATGTTGATCCCTAGACACTTTTGATGTGTGTATTTAAAAGTTTTTGTTAAGTTAAATTCTAAGCAAGTAGCGCTTAGTGTAAGTAATTACATTTAAATGGGTTCCTTACTCATAAGGGAATTGAAATTGGTTGCAGGTACTACGTGTTGTCTACATATACTGACTGGCTAATCTGTCAACATACAGATACAGATTACTTTATATTTACTACGTAAGTACAGCTCAAACCCTCAAACCATTGAACGGATTGCGCTGAAATTTTGCACACATATAATAATGTAAGCGTGTGTTAAGAGAGGATTTTCCAAAACTCATTCTCTAAAGGGGTAAAACGGGGACTTAAAGAGTTTGTATGGAGCACCAAGATCGCGAGAAATCAAATCTAGAATCACGAAGCTACGGTCAAAAGCTAGTAAATATAGCTAGTAAACATAAATGGGATGGATGAAACAGTGAAAATCTCGTTTAAAAAAATGTAAAGGATACCATAGCGACTTGGTGACCAATTTTCATCATCAAAATCAAAGATTTAATAGTTTTCTTGACTGGACACTCGGACAGCTAATAAATGTCATTTAGTTTATGCTGAAAATATTATACAAAATTAGATTACAAAATTCATGCTGTTGTATTAATAAATATTCAACATGCAACCAGAATGTCAATTGAAATCCAATTCCATGAGCAATCTGTTACGTTTTCGACTTCGAGGCCAATAAACTCACGACTACTATTCATCATAGCACAAAATAGATAGTCCAGAAGGCAATCCGAAATCTTTTGTGCGAATACGAAAGTATCTAAAAAAAATTAATAACTGTTCAGTTGTTTGCAATCAACATTAAACGGATAAAACGTCTTTTGTAATTTTGGTCTCTAAAATAACAATAACATTTAAAATTTATTGAAATACTTCAGTTATTATAGGTTTATTTTTCCATTTTTCGTGATTCAGTTTCAACAATCAATCAAACAATTACAAATGTACAAGTGCCGCTACCGTGATTTTTTTGGGCACAAGCCAAAGTTGACAATCCTAGCGCGACCGCCGAGCGTAGGTATGAAAAGTGAAGTACCGCTATTCATCTACATACATGAGATTACCTTCTGTACTATTTATTTGTGATAATAATGTCTCAAAATAACCCATTCCTAAGTAAAATAACAATCGTGTAGGTTGATCATATTTCTGCTTATTATTAATTTGTACCTATACTTCTAATTAATTTATTCATAACTGGTTCGATAATATCGTCACATCTACTGCAAACTAACGAATCTGCTATTTTTTAGTAAAAATCTATAAAAAAAACTGCACATAATAGGGTACTTAACACCAGGGAAAAGTCATACAATTTTATCAATGACAGTTCGAAAAGTCTGATTGTTTGAATGTGCATTTTATAGTTATACACCCAAAGTAAACTTACCATTAATATACGATATTTTGGCGTAGTAGGTTTTATGAAATTCAAATTCGTAAGTTTACTATGGAAGTGACGATATGTAGTAAAAGCAATAAAAACACTTTATATCTAAAACCTAGGTGCTAATTGAGCTGCATAAGATAACATCTAAAAACAAAGTAGGTATATACATGATTATTAAAATTTCAGCTAATTAATGAAATTCGTTAGTATCTTAAATTTTTCATTAAGTTTTAAATTAAAGTAAAGGATAATTGGTTAAATTAGTAGGATGCGTTGCCTTCTTCATGCGTTGATTTCCTGCAGCTGCGCAAATGCCTTGATTGAAAGTTAGCGATAACACAGCTGTATTAATAAAATTTATATGAGTCCATTTCTGGTTAAGGTGAGTATTTAATTATAAATGTTTATATAGATTTCTTTCAGAGTTGCAAGACCGTAAGGCCTACTTGCACCAAAGTTCTTAATTTAAATTTAAAAGCTTATCTTATTTCTAAGTCTCATTTTATCCCTTTTTACCCGACTGCGCAATGCAAGAGCGCGAAGCGCGACGCGCAGACAGGGTTATGTGTTTAACAGTCTATTTAAGTATGTTTGTTCCTTTGTGGCACACTAGAGACCAAACGCCTGGACCGATTTTGATATTTCATACATCAATCGATTCGTCTCAATCATGGGAGTGCTACTAAATATATATCGTTGTTTGTTATATTAATACTAATCTTTATTTTGCAATCATACATGGTAAATAAAAATTTAAAATCAGTTATAGCATAGACTTGTATTATCTAATTTTGGCTAAGTAATATAATAACCCACCATCTTAAAGACGAACACAGAGAAACAGGCATCTTTTGGCAGTCTTGTTTTTCTATCAGGGACTTAGGCACGGTACACACAGAAAAGACAGAAGACGCAGACGAAATATATGATAGTAATCAAAATTCAATATGGGCAAAATTAGGCGCCATATTGTGACGAAGTAAAAAAAATAAGTTGACAAAATATGTCGAGTGGGGTATCACTGTCTAGATAATCAAAAATCATATTTAGGTTCCTAAAACCATTTTTTATTTTATGTGATTGTTTAGGATCTACAACGCTTTAAAGTTGTATATTAACCACTTACGCTTTTAATTTCAATCTTACGTTTATATGGATCTTTGTTACTCTTTCACCTAAAAAATACTGAATGAATTTTAATGAAACATAAAAGTAATATAGCTCATATATGATAATTACATATATATAATAATTTATGTAGTTATTGAGTGAATTGGCCAATATATAACAATAAGTGTCACATAAGACGGAAAAAAATCTCCCATCTGCGAGCCATTTTGGCCTGCACTGCAAAAACAATAAAAGTTATATGAATGTAATGTAGAGTGAAAATGTATCTCTTAAATAGTTCTAAAAAAAAGTCCGTGACACCATATATCTATTTTTAATGTGTGAGTCATTACCGCTAAAATAGTGAATCAAAACTAAAACATTCTTTGATATCTATTTCCAAAATGCACATTTTGATTAACAAATATTTTTTTTTCCAAACAAATACTTTTATCGCTTTTGATATTTAAAGGCGATAAACTTTGCTTTTTACACTATGTCATTTCGACAAATATTTAAATAGTTACATCGATGACAAAGTGATAGCGCGGTTACTATGTAAGAGAAAAAAAAAATGGGGTATTCGCAGTATCTGATCCTATACGAAGTACTAACAATAAAACTGTGATACAGTTCCTTCTTATTGAATGATGAAAAATATATTATCATAATAGGTATTTATGATTATTGAATTTTAATGAAAACTCAGAATTTTACTGTTTTTAATTTTTTTTAACGATATTACTTAATGTTACAAAAAATGTTTACTTAATATAATGACAAATAACCCATTTTTCGCTAGTAAGTACATACTTATTGGAATCCCTGTATTAATTAATCTGCTCGCGATAATATTGGTTTTGTAATTATTCTGCAAAATTCAAAGTAAATAATGTAGAGTTTTATAAGTAAATCACCCCTTTCATCACCCTACGCCTATAAGTATTGCGATGTTGTAGCTAAGAACCAAGTTCCCATCTACTTCTATATGGGAATTCATTATATTCGATTTAGCTATTGGGGCACGGAAGCGCAACAAACAAACTCACTTTCGCATCTATAATATTATATTATACTTACTAGTGATCCACCCGGGCATTGTACGGGCGAAATTTATTTATCGGGATAAAATATAGCCTATGTCACTCGGACAAAATGTATTTAAATAAAGAAAAATGTTATAATAAATAATGTAGCTACCTTATGATGATGAATATTTGAAACCGGTTCAGTAGTTTGACAGATTATTTGTTACAAACATACAAATCTTGCCTCTTTATAATAGTAGTATAGATAGTTAGGATAAGATAAGTATTTAATTGATGAAAAAGATTTAAAAATAAAGTAAGTAATAGGTTTATTTGATTATATTTGTAAAAGTTACTTAGCATTTGTGCTTAACAGTGATACGTTATTCGGTATTTTTTAAACAAAAAAAAATTTGGAAAATAATTTCCATGATTGCACTACTGGGAGTACTCTTCATTCGAGCTTGACACTACCAATAAAAAAGGGTCGAACACAAAGTCTTTCACCTGTTAAATGTGAACGCTTTAAAAGAAAACTACAAAGAGAACTATAAATTGATAATAAATGAGATTGCTATGGTGCTCTACCTAACGTTATGAAAATTTAATCAAATATTATAAACTTTGCTTTGGTGATTGCATAATTATTTAATTTAGTGATCTAAGGCAGTTGCCACCATTGTCCAAAACAACAGACGGAAATTACTGCTTTCTTCAACCTGCGACATAAACGTCATTGATTGGTATTGTATATAGGGTGATTAAAAACATTTGAAGTTAACTTCTGACATCTACATATTAGGTTTCTGTGAATTATGTAGGTATATCAAATTATGAGACTAGGGACTGACACTGAATTTGTGTATATCACAATCTTAGACGTCCGGCATTGACATGACAATGCAGCCACTGCCAATTTTAAATAGTCGACGAATAAAAGTAAATGAATTTTATATTTACTGCTAAACTATTAAAAAAAACATAAACAAAAGATGACTTTTTGAGTAAGTGCTAGTTTACTATAAAATTTACATACATTAGAGATATTTATGTAACGACTTGATTTAACTTCACACATTTTTGCGAAAATTGAGGCCCATCTGTAGCCTTGACCCCGCTGGTAAAGTCTTTATATGTCTTAATAAATCAATCTTTTAGACCGACACAAGGTACTTAATAATTCCCGCGATATTAATTCCCTTACTGAAGTAACAAGACTACGGTATATACCGTCTTAAAATACTAACTAACTAAAAAGTGTGAAATAAAAAAAGGTAAATTTAAAAAATCAAAAAACCCGACTGCTTAATTATGCTTCAAATAAAAACTGAAAAGAAAAAAACAAGTCCAGTAGTCTATAATTCTGTTAATAAGGAATAAAGCTACTTTAACAGTAGGGACCCATTAGATATTCAAGAATACGTAATATTTTTCAACAGTGGGTCCCGACTGTTAAAGTAGCTTTGTTCCTTATTAACAGAATTATAGACTACTGGACTTGTTTTTTTCTTTCCAGTTTTTATTTGAAGTATAATTAAGCAGTCGGGTTTTTTGATTTTTTAAATTTACCTTTTTTTTGACATTAAAGAATGAACAAAGATGGAATGATGGAAACACAATGGTTGAACACAATTAAGCCTTAA